TATTCTTCCTCTTCACTTTCAGCTGTATTGGCTAATATTCTGAAATATGGCTTCGCTTCTTCAATACATTTTATTGGCGATTTCACTAGTTGATTCTGGATTTTTGCTCGCAATTCATCTTGATCGAAGTACATTCTAGCATCGAACATTTTGAACCAGTTGATTCCTAGCAACAAAGTATCTTGAGGTGATTCAATTACTTGTAAATCAACAGTGAATTGAATTCCTTGTAGAATCAAAGGAACTGAAGTAATGATTCCTAATAATCTTTTTTTGTCCATCAGCAGTTACTATCAGGATATTGGATAACTTATTTGGCTTAATCTTTAATTTATTGGCTAAGGTTGTTGAGATTGTTGAGATAATACAGGCAGCAGCTCCTGAGTCTAAAATTACTTCAATAGGATTTAATTTGTATCGCATAATATATCTGGCGGCAGTGTATTTATTATTATCATTGACATGAGTCTGTGCGATATTGATTCCAATTTCTTTTTCTACTTTGTTAATTTTGATCTTTCAATTCTTGTAGATACTGAGGATTTCGTAATAGTTATCTAAAAGTTACATTAGCATCATGTCTTTCTAAATCTTAGATAATATTATAAGATGTTCATAATGTGAAACAAATTTAGCTTGAGGGATAAATTTAGGAAATCAAGGGAAAGTTCGTATCCTTTGTTCTTCTCTTGACTCAGTTCTAGGAAAATTCTAGTTGTAGTATATACTTCTTCATCTTGTTCTGTTTGCTCTGTTTCAGTTAAATTAACATTACATTATTGTGGTTTACCAGATGGATGATATGGTATACGATTTGATTTTAGTGTTAGTTTTGATTTTGGAATCTTGGTTGGGCTTTTACAGGTGTTTCTATTGACATTCTTTAGCAAAATGTTCTTCCCCGCCACATCTCCAGCATTCATTAGTTCGATGAGTCTAAAAGCTTATATTTCATTTGTTTTACTAGTTTTGTTGATTTCACCTAGGACGTGAATTTGACTGGACTTGGATGTTTGCCAGGTTTGCAGTTAATTGCGTAACCTATTGTTGTAGAATCTCCATTTGATTGACCATTATCTGTTGTTGAATTGGTTGGGTAATAGTAAACCCAGCTTCGATTTTTTTAGCTTTAGTGATAGCTGCATCTAATATTTGAGGACTATGACTAACTATCATGGTCATTAAATAAGATGACAATCCTCTAATGAATTTACTAATAATATAATGCTGTCCAAATTCTCTAGTAGTATCAACTCGCTGCATTAACATCTTAAACTTCTGAGCATAATTAGATACACTTTGTTCAGGATTTTGTTTAATTATTACCAACTCAGACATCCATCTATTTTTCATGGTGATGTTGGCAAAATAGTTTAAGAATGCATTTACAAAACTATTAGGATTTCCTTGTACATGCCATCCTTGATAATTTCCTTGATTTTTATCATACTATTTGGCTTTGACATCTCTTAAATATCCAGCACAATGGCTATTTTTCTATTCTTATTCCATTGATTTGCAGTAGCAGCTCGATTAAAAGAGGCGATCCATTCAAAAGGATCTTCATCATCAAGTCTGTGAAAATAGTTTGGTTTTACCAGGTTAAGTTTAGCACGATTAACTTGTACCTGTCCTGCATTATTGTTGTTTATAGCCATCATTTGTAGGGCAAATGTAATTTGTTGAAGTGCCTAAGCCAATTGTGTATTTTGATTATTTTGATTACCACCTTGAGTGAATTGATTAAATTGAGGAGCAGTTTGTTGAGATTGTGTGGTTTGAGTTTATTGAGGTTGTGGATGTTCAAATCCCATTCCTGTTGCTTTAAAACCTGTTCCAGTATTACTACTTACAGTAGAAGTAGCAGTATTAAATCTTGTTATATTAGGATTATTAGCTACATTACTCCATTGAACATTCGCTGTTGTTGTGACAGCTGGTAGTTGAGATGGATTATTACTTCCTGATACAATACTAGGAGTTCCTGTAGTAATTCTTCCAGATAGACTACCAAAGTGAGATATTGTAGAACTAGAAGAAATATTGTATTAGCTTTGGAAAATTGAGTAAAATGTGTAACTGGTTGATTTCCTTTAGTTATTAGGATACTGGTTGCTATTGGTGAAAGTGTGAAAGATCTATTTCCTATAGTTCTAATTGCAGTGTTGTTGAATAAGTTGGACGATGGTGATTCTTGAAATCCTCCTCTTTCTAGGGTTGGTGAAATAGTACTAAATAAATCATTTTCAGAAGATTTTTCTGGTTGAGTTCCTATAACTATTCGAGAGGCTTCTTCTGATTATTTCAAAATTAAATTTGAAGATTGAACAGGTAATTCTTGAGAATAATTAGTTGGTAAGTACTCAGATTCAGAGTATAGATTAGTAACAGTAAGGATGGATATTCAGCTTCCTCATGTAAAACAACCAAGTCTGCAAGGGTTTATCTTCTATTTTCGTTTGGTGAATATCCTTCGTTTACTTTAGTATATGTGACAGTTTCTATATCTGAATCAAAAGTTTCAGTAGTTTCAGGAATAGTTTCTAAATTAGCCTGAGTTAAGGATTCTAATGGTTACGGTCATGACTGGTCATGACTGGTCATAGTCGTAACTAATATCAGTCAGTCAAAGGTTTCTGACTTATCGGTTGACCGACTGATTTTGACCGACCGTTTGATCAAATATTTTTTAAAGTAATCCAAGAATTCTTTGCATTTAATTAACAATCATTTTA